TAATACAAACCAGATAAGGGAGCTACAGAGGAAATTTTAAATTTTTTAGTAACCACTGTAAAAAAGTAGAAAGAAGTGAAATTAATTTTAATAGTATCTTTTATTTAGCCTCATATATAAAAAAAAACTTTCCAACATGGTATCAAATGTAGAAATTATTAAGATATTTTGAATTCTTTGTGCTAAATCTTCAAAATCTGGTGTGTAATTAACACTTTTCAATTTGGAATTTCATTTCAATTTGGAATAACCACATCTCACATGCTTAGTAGTCACATGTGTCTAGTGGCTGCAATACTGGACATCGCTGGTGTTAATAATGTCGTTAGTATTAAATGCCGAACTGAGTGCTTTTAAAGAGACGGCATTCTAGCATCAAATTGATTTTTCTTCGGAAATATGCAGATGTTATCAGGGACCCAAGAACATAATATTTGTTTTCTTCTATTACCCCAAAGCTCTGTTTGGATATAAATTGTCCTGCTGTACCCTGGTAGCTCTTTAGGGCTTAATAGAAACCTTGCTTTTCTTTTTCCTTCAGAATCAGTTCTCCAGAGAAAGTAGACCATAAATTCAGTCTAGGAGGTGGAAAGTGTAATAGAAAGCAATGCCAAGAAGTTCTAAGACCTAAAACATGAGGTCAACATTCAGGCAGAAAAATTAGGATTATTTTTTTTTCTGTAACTCATGGTACTGGAAGAAATGTGCGACCCTGGCAGCTGAAGATGACCATTTTGCCTCCTTCCAAAACTCTTGGGACCCCTGACATCTTTCAAGAAAAAGAAGCCCAGATTCAGTTTAGTACATATGATACCTGAAGGTCAGGTTACTATGCTTCAATAATAAGAAGACAAGCATGAAGATGGAGCAACAGGTTGAAGGCGACAGGAAAGATGGAAAGCCTCTGGGGCCTGAGGATGGTTTGCCTGCTAGAATCTAAAATCACCTCTTTCCAAGCTGCTTGCTAGTACAGGTAATGAAGTCCTACTGTTTAAGCCACTTTTAACCAGGTATTTTACAAATTATAGCTGAAAGCACCCTGATATTATAATAACACCAAGGAAGTAAACTGGGAGGTGAATTGAAGAGTGTGTAGAAATCATATTATTTTGATGGATATTATGATAATAATATACATTTATTAATGCTTTGAAACTACAGAAGCATTTCACCTTGATTACATACTTCCTGTGAAGGTAGATAATATACTTTTTGAAGGAAGAACATTTACAGTACACTTTTAATATAAAAATATTTTCTGATCTCTTGAAGCAAGCTGGAAATGAGAGAAGCCACATGATTTGTGGGTGAATTATCCTCATTTTAAAAGGAAAAGACTGTACCATAAGTCCATAGAAGAAAATAATTCAGCAGAAAACGAAACATAAAGAAAAACTTCCCAGGGTAATAGTTCCCAATAGCCTTAATTACAAAAGACATCCTTTAAGGTCACCCTCCAAATGACAGTGGTTGAATTTTTAATATTTGTTCATTGTGGGAGCTGAGAGGGTAATGACAAAATTACTTTGACTACAGTGACACTTTTAATCAATCCTGTCCTATCACTCACAATAGCATTCCCATTAGTTTGAAAAATAATTGCACAAGTGTGTGCCAGATATCTGTAGTTAGTGGAGAGAATCACAATACCTTTGATTCTTGGAGACCTGCAGCCCTACAGACGGGAACCATTTTTCTAGAAAATTCTGCCAATCCAATTAAGAAGGTCACCTTGGGAAGATGACAAAAGGGAATCATTATCCTCCCTGCTAGGGTGGCAGTGGGTGTGGTGTTGCAGTATCACTCCAAAACAAAATTTCAAAATCCTGTTTTATTTCTTGAGTGCTATCACCCCTGAAAACCTAACTCATTAACTCCAGAGTTTAGGTAATTAAGATAGGAAGCAAACTGATAAGAAATTAAACCAGTATGCATAATGTATATGTCTAAGGAGGATGGTATCTCCAGGGCTCTGGGAAGCAGGCTAATCAGGTTTCAATCAGGAACTCATCATTCAGAGAGAGAAAATTAATTCAGGATGGGAGGCAGGAGGGAGCGAAAGCACAGGCAGAACCTCAAAATCAATTTAGATAAATTTATCCTTCTTGGGAGGAGGCAAACCCTCGGTTTGCCTGCTAGGTGCATGCTACTGCAGAGTCTGAGTGTGAAGTTTTCTGATAACCTGCAGCAGAGAGATGCAGCTATATGTTGCAGTAACACTCTTTAAAAGTGCTCTGAATTCTAAAACCTGCTTAAACCAAGTGTTCTAGATCTCCTTGGCCTAATAATTTCCAGAGAAATAGCCATGCAGAGAGGGGATACGATGTTAGGTCATTCTCTAGAGCAGGCTTCTGTGGCAGACTCAACTTCTTAGCATATTGAGGGTCTACTCTGACAGGGGTTGTGTGTTTGTATATGTGTGCTGGGAAAGGAGGGATTGGGGATGTTTCTGAATTTCCAGCTCTGTACAAATCTCTGCTGCTATAAAGTGCCTTTTCCTGAAAAAGAGGAAATGCTCAAAATGTTACAATGTATAGCTGATATTTCTGAGCTCTTTTCCAGTTGGAGAGATATTTATAGAAAATATGCTTTCTTCCTGGAAGAGAGTCGCCCAGAGAAATATGGTCATAGCACAATAATATCTACTTCCCTCACCTCATTCCTAATCTTTTAAAACTTGGACCCAAACACTGTAAAATAGAGTTATAGCAGCAAGGCAGAGGAGGGGAGTGAATTACAGGTTGAAATATTAAACAGCAAATACTTGAAGCCTAAAATGGATGTCCATGAAAAAGAATTGCCCAGTTTGCCAATAAACATCTCAAATTTCCAGTTTTAAGCTATTAGTCAGCACTGATAACATCTATGTTTTTTCTTCAAATAACTTTCAACATCTGCTGTAGTTCTCCCATTATTCATAGAAAAGTTAAAACTTACTCATAGTTTTAAATAAAGACAATCCCAAAGAAGAAAACTGAGTTGATTCACATGGTTGAGGAAGCTTTGTGAAAACAAATGAAGTGACTGGCACAATTGTTAACTGGAGTATAGATATCAGATTAAATATTAGTATTGTGTCAACATTAAATTTCCTAAATTTGATAACTGTAGTATGGCTCTGTAAAAGAATACCTTTACTCATAGGGAAAACATATCAAAGTATTTAGGAACAAAGGGGTGTAACGTAGGCAGCGTAATCTTAAATGGTTCACAAGAAAGAGAAAGAAAGTGACAATGATAATGGTCATGGCAAAATATTAATGATAGGTGAATCTTGGTGAAGATCATAAAGAAATTCCTTCCACTATTCTTCATGCTTTTCTATTAGTTTAAAATTATTTCAAAATAAAACATAAATACCAAATTAAGTAATTTTATATGGACTTACCTGAATGCTATAGTTGTTAATATTCAGTTTTCTTAACATGAAAATATTTATTTTAAAAGACCCCTGCACAGTAAAGGAAGAAATTTACAGATTGGAGAAAATATTTGCAAATCATATATCTGACAGTCTCAGAACAGCTCCTACAACTCAATAGCAGAAAGCGCTTAATAACCCAATTAAAAGATGGACAAAGGACTGGAATAGACCTTTTTCCAAAGAAAATATACAAATGGAAAACTGGTATATGAAAAAGTGCTCAACATCCTTAATACAAATCAAAACCACGTGAAATATCACCTCACACCTGTTAGAATGGCTACTATCCCCAAAACCAAAAAATTAAATATAAGTAAGGATTTGGAGAAATTAGAATACTTGTATACTGTTGGTAAGAATGTAAAATAGTAAGACCAATATGGACAATAGTATGAAGGCTCCTCTAAAAATTAAAAAAAATAAAACTTCTGTGTGATCCAACAGCCTCACTTCTGGGTATGTATCCAAAATAATTGAAATCAGGATCTTGAAGAGATATTTGCACTCCAGTGTTCATTGAACCATTATTCACAATAGCCAAGATATAAAAATAACCTAAATGTCAATTGATAGGTAAATGGATAAATAAAATATGGCATATTCCCAAATACTATTCAGCCTTAAAAAAAGAAGGATACCTTGCCATTTGTGACAACATGGAAAAATCTGGAAGATATTATGCTAAGTGAAATAAGCTAGACACAGGACAAATATGGCATGATTCCACGTATATGGGGTGTCCAAAATAGTGAAACTTATAGAAGCAGAGAATAGAATGGCAGTTGCTAGGGCCTAGGAGGTAGGGGAAATGGGAAGTTGTTGTTCATGGGTATAAAGTTTTCAGTTATGTTGGAAAAATAAGTTACAGACATCTGTTGTACAACATAGAACTCATAGTCGATGATACTGTATTGTGAATTTAAAATATTAAGAGCATAGATCTCATGTTGTGTTCTTACAAAGAGAAAACAAAACAAAAACAAAGAGGCACAAGGAAACTTTTAGAGGTGATGAATATGTCTATTATCTTGATTGTGGTGATGGTTTCATGGGTCTTTGCAAATTCCAAGGCCACCTTCAGAAGCAAACAAATTATTGAAACAGTCCATGTCTCTCTCATGCTCTGAAATGATCCCTTTAATGACTGATGTTTTTCCCAACCATTTACATTTGATTATTTATGTTAATACCAAGCCATTTCTTTGGTGCTTTATATTTCTGAATCAGCATACATTTTTTTTGTCTAGAAGGGATGTATATTGCCTCCCTTTTTTGTATTGTGCATGGCAACTAATGGACAACTGAACAGAATCTTAGTATCCAGAAGCATAGTTTTTAACAAATGGAGTAAATACTTATAAAACAATCAGAGGAGTTTTCATGGACTGTTGTTGTCCTGCAAAGCTGAATCTTAGCAATCTCAAATTTCTCAGCCTACAGAAAGAATTTCCAGGTGAGGTTATAAAACTATAATTAGTCACAATGAAACCAAAACCATTTAAAGATTTCTGTTTTAAAAATGGTCCCTGAAGTTAAAAGGCCATGTAAGAATTGTATAAGGAATGAAATACAAGGAGAAATTGAAAAATTAATTTATTACATGAAGAAACATAACAATATTTATTAGCATTAATGACTGCAGAGAAGCAGTCAACGAAAGCTCATATCCACAATGGTAAGTACTGGCACATACACTCATAACCATAGCACTAATGTTTCAAGGTGGTTTCCAAAGAAATGCTGTATTTGACAATCAATTTTAATGTATATTTTCCCATTTACAAGGCTGAAAAGATTAAACTCACATCCAATTAATGCCTTGAATCAGCATTCAAGTTGTAAAGCACAATTATCAAAAGATGTTGTTATATCCTTTATAGAAAACTATACCAAAATGAAAAATTCATTTGCCACCAGAAAGTACTTTATCAGATTCAGTGGGTCTTTTTCCTCCAAGTGCCATGTGTTTGGGTGCTAATTTTTGTAAGCAACTGGTGGTAAGAGAAAGGGCACCTGCCAAGAAGACCAAAGATTCACATATCCACTCAGGAACTCCTATGAATGACACTACATATTTCTTTTCAAACAGTAAAAAAATAATAATAACCTTTTTATGGATTTGAATTACTATAATGACAACTCTATAAATATGCATAGCACTTAAAAACATTTTCGAAGCATTTTCACATCTATTATTTAATTTGATCTTTCTGACAACCTTGTGAGGTAGGTTGGACAAGTGTATCATGGGGAAACTGAGGCAGAGAGGAATTAAGTTGTAGGGCTGGACAGGGAAATGCCAATCTCTACACTGGCCTGTCTACAGCAATGAGAGGAAGTCTAAACATGTTTGACGAACTTATTTCAATATATTTTGAGGACATAGTTCACTCCCATCCAGCCAAATGATAGCAATTCAGTTGAAGCAGCTATTCTGACAAATTATGGCATGTAATTAATTAGACAAAGCACCAAGAAATTTAAAAATTGAAATGATAACTGAAAAACACATTTCAACTTCAAATGCATCAGAAAATTTGCTGGCTTGTTTTATGCCCATAGGACAATGTAGCTCTGAAGTGTGAACCGTAATTTTGCCAATTCAGTAATATAAATAATTTAAAAACAAAAATTATCAGTTCACCATGGCTTATGTTTTCACCACACAGAAAGAAAGTAGTAATATCTCTCCCCAAAAGTGAATGGACATACATGTCCCCAAAGCTGGAATACCTATATATCAGGGCTTAAAACTGACAAAATGCCTAAATCTCTGTCCTTATAAATGTGTGAAGTGGGCTTTGGGTGTCTGACAAACCAGCACTTGTTAGTTTGGTTTAGGATCACTCAAGTTACTCACCTATATTCTAAATTAAAGTGATTTAAAATGTATTTGAAGGTTAAGATTTTGTAACGGTTTTTGAAACAAGCTTCCAAGCCAAGGCTGGAAAAAACCAGTCTCTCGATCCTTGTCTAATTCTTAACGTGCCTAGTCAGTGGCAGGCTGGTGGCTACTCCCACACCTCACTCCCAAGGTATGAGCTGAAGGCATCTCAGGTGAAAAGGGAGCACTATCATCCCTACCACTTGCTACTGCAAAACCTCAAGGCAAGTATACCTGACAAAAAGCTTGAAAATATTTGGTGTCAATGAACACAAGTAACTGGTGTGATACAAATACACACTTGAAATGACTAAAGAATTCCCTTACTGCTCTCCTAATCATTTATAGAGCCCTTTTGTTAATTAAAAAAAACAAAAAAATTATGTGTTAACATGGTAGTTTTATTTTACTCCAAGTCTTTATATATTTTCAAGGGTATTTTATGTATACAATTGTGTATCTATGCATATATGTGATTACATGGAGAGTGCATGGAAGTATATGTTGTATGAAGTATCATTTTGATTATATATGCTCACTATTTTAGGCCTACTAAAAATGGTGAAAGTGGTAAGTGATGTGTTGGAATGGAAAACATAGTCTTTAGTGTTATTCTTATTTGGTAAAATAGAGACAAAAATGATCTACTGTCTGGGCATCCCCACAAAGTTAAACCACAAATATTGATAAATCAAAAACATTTTAAATGTGAAAACCCGAAATTGAGGCTGTATAGTTTAGGAGCTTATTGATGTATTTCTATGAGCTCTATAAATATTAAACAATATAGATGCCTTGTGAAAGAATATATGCAGTTTCCTTGACCTCTAAATGTAGTAGAAACTGATTACTAAATTGCATTTTCACCTGTGTGCATGAAATTACTTAAGAATTTGACACCATGAAGATTTAAAAATGAAATTTATCAGAAGTGCAATGGCCAGATAAATACGTTTTGTAGGTTAACACAGAGAATGGATCCCTATTCCATATGGTAAAATTGAGTCCATAAATAGAGTCCTTTTGTAAATTTCTCATACTTTACTCTAATATTCATTCTAAATTGGTATGATCTTTATGGTTACCTGTTTTCAAGTATTTCATTTTCAAGATTTTAATCATAGAAATAATGGTACTAGATCTAGGCATTTTTTCCAAGACAATTGAGGATATGCTAACCAATCTTCTTTTATGAAACAAATAGGGTCTCAGATTAAAGGAAAAAATATATAGAACATTAAAGGGTGTCAAAGGATAAAACTGGAGATCTTTATCAAATTAACTCATGATTATGCTAAATCAAACTGCATTCAATGAAAGACAAAAATTTTCTGGTCATTTGTCTTTATAATTTAGAAAAGTTTCTGATGCCAATCTCTAATTATGGGTGGTGGTGAGGAAAACCCTCTTCCTTCAAATAATGAAAAGGAAAATTCCCTATATACCTGAACTGGGTGAGAGATTTCTATGAGGTTTTCTAAAAAAAAAAAACAAGACCAAAAACCAAAAAACAAACCCTTAAGTTAACCAAGGTAACTCTTGTCTAAAATGTTCCTGACAGGCAAAGATGGGGGAGGAGGACTAAGATGATAAGAATTCTTCTTATATGAGCCTCCATAATTCTGATATTTTAACACCCCTCCTGATCCAGAATTTCACCAAAATATCAAAGAATCACAACTTTCCTAAAATTCCAGGGCTTCCATAGCCAAATTTATTATTCATTTCTGCATCCATGGATGCTAAGGAATAAAGTCTCCAAATCTAGGCTCTTGAATCAATTAGAGATAGCATGCCAGGGTAGCTACAGTTGGCTATGTACAAAAAGCCCTAATGAGATGAATATGAAACATCTATCTATTCAAAAACCAAACTTGAACATCCCTCCCTGAAAGCTCTGACTGGAATGATGTCATTGATAGCAAACTCTAGTAACCTTTTTTGGTCACCAGGACAGCTCTTGGGTGAAAACTATGTTCAGGGATAATAAATCTTCAGGTTACCCAAACCCAACAATCTGGAACACTAGAGAACAGGTAAGCCCCTCTCCTCATTCCACCTGATGCATCTAACCAGTACAACTCAGATTTCAGGGGTAACTTGTCAGTGAAAAGGCCAATAATGCCTAGAAGAACATAACATGGTTACCTGTGAACTGTGATGCCTTGGGCTGCCCCTTCAACACCCCTGGCATCTTCCCATACAGTTCTACATACCCAAGAGCTCTATAAAGAGGAGCATCTCACAAGAAGTTGACAGCTAACTTCCTGCCTTGTTCCCTGTGCAGGGCTAATTATTTATATGAACAACAGGGTATCAAACCCAGAAAATAATATGTCTGTGCCCTGAGACCTTGGGTCCCATTAAGCAGAGCAGAGATCTTCAGCATTCAAGAACTGACTAGGCTCAGGACTTGTTTTACTGCTAGAAGGTGTCTCATCTCTATCTCTGGATGACTGTAGATCTGCCTTTCCTGTTGGATCACAGGGTTTTTGCTGCCTGCAGGCCCAGCAAAAACATCTCAACCACCTCTGAAAGCCTTCAACAACACTGGAGGAAAAGAGCTTTTTGCAAGGGTGGAAGAACTGATAGAACACAAGCATGAAGAGAATGGCTGTGCAGTACGCAATGAGCAGCTGCAGAACCAACAGAGGTGCGCACACATACATATAAATGTCAGTCTTGAAAAGATACCACAGGAGGAGGAGGACGGCATTCTCAATGAATCTCATCATGTAATACACCAGTAGCTGGTACCAATTATGGGACTTGCTGATAAGGTCAGGGCTGTCTATTTTCAACTGTACAGCAGACCAGCAGAACATGTTGATACCAGTATACAGTAAAGTTAGAAAGCATAGTACAATGGTGGTGCCCACCCGACTGAGGGCTTTCTCTATGTTCTCAGGGAATGGGGAACCACTGTACCAGAAGAGGATCCAGGGGTACAAGAAGAAGCTGAAGAAGTTGATGAGTATTATAACCACCACCCAGGTCTTCAGGACGGAGGTAAAGAGGACCAGAACTACAACTCGAGTGGCAATCTCAAAGCTCCTCCACAGGAAGATACAGACGTATGCCAGAGGCTTCACTTTAACTTCATATTCATCGTACTTGATTTTGATGGCTAGGATGTTACAGCGCAAGGCTCCATACACAATGGACAACAGGGATATGGTCATGAGGAGACCTGGAGAGAAAAGAGAAAGTATTGTCAAGTCTCACCGCCACTAGGAATCGTACTGTAGCAGATACTCTGTCAAGCACTCCACCTGCATTCCTTGGACTCTTCTGTTTTATGTGCACAGCCTGACTTCCAGTTGTTAGCGTCTGCCCACTGTGCTTGAGTATGTTTTCCAGAACTGCAGAAAGCTGCTGCGTCCAGGTGCCTGGCAGGCTGAAGTGCCAAGAATTAACACTCCTGGGAGCACCCTCAATGCCCCAATTCCAGCCCAGATTAAGAGTGGGAATACAAGTACCATGGCTTCCCTATTCCTTACATAGAATATCTCTGAGGCATGTGTTCTATGCCATTTCCTAGTATTTCCTCATTGGGTTAACTTCTAGTCACCCATGGTGATAGTCGTCTAATAGTTGTATTCCTTTATTGGCTGCCTTCCCTTCCTTGCCTCATTTTTCTTCTCCCACACTCCTTACATCTTCCTCCCAAAATACATGCACTGAAATTCTTCTCTGAGGGTCTGCTTCCAGGTAACTCAAATTAAAATACCTTCCTGGCCGCATCTGGGCCTATCTGAATATGTAGAGTCCTTTATATGGTGTGTTTTGATTCCTCAATTGGCTTCTAAGCTTCTGGGGAATCAAGACCGACCAACCAAATCTTGTATTTCCTCTTGATGTTCCTGAGCACATACCAGCAGTAGATATACAAACAGAAGACACTCAGTAATAAGTTGCTCAGTATGTTCCTCTGTATCTGCAGGATCTTTTAAACTGATACACTGGCTATAGAATGTTCATTGAGGTTGCATTCTTAAATGCTGTGGGGAGCTGAACAAATGAACTTCACTGTTACTGAGAGTCAATCTGTCTTGGGCTGAAAGTCCTTAGCATTTCAAGAAGTCTCAACTCTAACTGTTTATTTCTTAAAATGACTAATGGGTAATGGGTTTATCCAGTTTATAATGGAAGTAGAAGAGGAGACAAGATGTGGCTCATTTAAACAGAATGTGGTATTGCATTCCAGAGCACAGCACTGTTGGCCTTGAGTTGTATTATCTAAGATACATGCTGCCAACCGATAAGTAGACTGTGGTCAAAACTACTTACTACAGGCTGCCACCATCTCTAAATACTGGCACAAGTAAGGATGGGAAGCAGGGCTATGAGTTAGGAACCGACAATTTGGCTCTTGTTTTATTCTTGTCTCACCAGTTCACACGGAAGAAATGGCAACCTCTCTGGGTTCTGTTTTCTTACCCATAAAATTGAGATAATACCTTTCTATGCCTGCTGCTTCATTTTAAAAAAAAAATCTTGAAATGTTTATTCATTTATTTTAATTAACTTTATTTTTAAAGTAATTTTAGGTTCACAGCAAAGTTGAGCAGAAGGTACAGAAATTTCCCATATATTCCCTGACCCCACACACGCATATCGACAACCCCCATTATCACCATTGCTCACCAGAGTGGTACATTTTTTACAACGTTATCATTCAAAGTCTGTAGTTTACATTAGGGTTCACTCTTGGCATTGTACATCCTATGGGTACACTGGACATTATACATTGGACAAATGTATAATGACACGTAGCCACCATTACAGTATCATTAAGAGCAGTTTAAGTGATCTAAAAATCCTCTGTTCTCCACCTATTCATCCCTCCCTTGTCTCCAGCTCCTGGAAACCACTGATCTTTTTATTGTCTCTATAGTTTTACATTTTCCAGAATGTTATATAGTTGAAATCATACAGTATGTGGCCTTCTCAGATTGACTTTTTTCACTTAGTAATGTACATTTAAGTTTTCTTCACCATATCTTTTCATGGCTTGATAGCCAGTTTCTTTTTAGTGCTGAATAATAGTCCATTATCTGGATGTACAATTTATTTATCCATTCACTTGTTAAAGGACATCTTGGTTGCTTCTATGTTTTGACAGTTATGAATAAATTTGTTATAAGCATCCGTATGTAGATTTTTGGAGGGACATAAGTTTTCAACTCCTTTGGGTAAATACCCATGGGTGTGATTTGTTTGCTGGATCGTAGAGTAAGAGCATGTATAATTTTGTAAGAAACCTCCCAACTGTATTCCAAAATGATTGTACCATTTTGCATTCCCAACAGGTATTAATGAGAGCTCCTGTTGCTCCACATCCCTACCAGCATTTTGCGTAGTCAGTGTTCTGATTTTTTGCCAATATACTTAAGGTATACAACATAATATTTGATATACAAATATACTGTAAAATGATGACTATCATCAAGCTAATTAATTTATCTATCACCTCATGTAGTTACCTTTTCTATGTGAGAACACTTAGCAAATTTCAAGTATATATATGGTATTATTAACTGTAGTCAACATGCTGTACATTAGATCTCTAGAACTTATTTATCTTACATAACTGAAACATTGTATCCTTTGACCATCATCTCCCTATTTCCCAGACCTATCCCTGTCCCTAGTAACTGCCATTCTATTCTCTGGTTCTATCAATTTGACTTTTGTAGATTACACATATAAGTCAGATCATGCAGTATATTTCTTTCCGTATCTAGGTTATCTCACCTAGCATAATGTCCTCCAGGTTCATTCATGTTATTGAGAAATGACAAAATTTCCTTATTTTTTTAAGGCTAAATGATATTCCATTCCAATAGATACATAGTGGTACCTCATCATTGTGTTAATTTGTATTTCCCTGATGACATATAATATAGAGTATTTTTTCATATGTGTATTTGCAATCTGTCTATCTCTGGCAAGGTGTCTGTTAAGGTCTTTGACTCTTTTTAAAAAAATCTGGTTGTTTTCTTATTGTTGAGTTTTAAGAGTTCTTTGTACATTTTGCATAACAGCCCTTTATCAGATAAGACTTTTGCAAATATATTCTTTCAGTCTGTGGTTTATCTTTTTATCCTCTTGACAGTGTCTTCTGCAGAGCAGGAATTTTTAATTTTAATGAAGTTCAGCTTATCAGTTCTTTCATGCATCATGCCTTTGGTGTTGTAGCTACAAAGCAATCACCAAACCCAAGGTCATTTACATTTTCTCCTATGTTATCTTCTAGGAATTTTACAGATTTGTATTCTGCATTTAGGTCTGTGATCTATTTTGTTTTTTTTTTTGTGTGTGTGTGTGTGTGTGTCAAGGGTGTAAGGTCTGTGTCTAGAGTCTTAAAGATTATCATTTCTCCATCGTATTGCATTTGTTCCTTTATCAAAGATTAGTTGACTGTTATGTAGGTCTATTTGTAGGCTCTCTATTATGTTCCATTGATCTATTTGTGTATTCGTTTGCCACTACTACACTGTCTTGATTGCTGTAGCTTTATCCACGCCTGCTTCTTAAAATTCAATACCATGTAATTCTGTCCATGCAATGTAATTGTCTCTATCTAAATGTACAACTTAAAATGCATAGGAATAAAGGTTTTTATTATTTAGTTTCTGAATAAATGGAAAAACATCTATAGATGGTGGACATAAAAACTCCGAAGCTTTATTATTTATTTGCCTGGGAGAAGCTCAGTTTTACTCAAAGCATCAGTTTTTCTCATAGTCTTTTGGCACTGACTTTAATTAATGATGTCATTCACTGGAAAGACTGGAATCTACTAATCAAATTTAAAAGATAGAAACACCCTTAGCTGAGTTGACTGGGAAGTAACTGGACTAAGTTATTTTTCCTGAGAGGCTAATTCAATGGAGCATTGTAAAGCAGAACATATTAGTGATATACTTTGTATATGACTTATACATGTATGTGTGGTTACAAATTTCCAAATTCAAAGGATCCAGTATTAAATCATTTTTATAGTCATTATGTTTTCTCCAATATAAGAAAAATACTTCAAGTGTGGAAGATGAGCTAAGCATAAATTATTAAAATCTAACTTATGTAGTCACACATACACAGTATTTATATTGTTATATTTATGGTATTTTAACTCCAAAATATTTATTGCTTTAAGCAATACTATGGCCTACATAACTTTTTCAAGTATCCATTCATTTTTCTCTTGTTCAATTATTTTCAAATTACATCTTTTTCTCCATCAAGAGAAATAGGCAATTATTACCCAGAATTATTCTGGTGCTTAATCAACCCCAGAAACCTTCTGAGAATGCATAGAAATTATTTTGAAATCACTGGCTTCAATCATCATTCTTACTATTGACTGTTCACTACAAAATGTCACAGATAGAAATGGGGTCAGGGAGGGAGAAACACTTGGGAGACAAGAAGTTTGTACAAAACGCTTCCAAAGTACATTTCCAGCTCTAGAATTAAGCTGTCATCTAATGAACGATGAGGATGATGCTCATGCAAATACCTACTTATTCAGACTTAAATGGAGGAAAGTTCCCTGACAATACTTCCCAATCTTATCTTCACACAGCCAACACAAAAGGGAATAAATTGGCAGTCCTGCCTATTTAAGTGGCATTTCACAGAAGTCTAACATCCCCTAGTAATCCTAATCTCATTTCCTAGATGTTTGTATGGATGGAGGCATTTTGCTGTTTTCATCTTTATTAGAAGGGAAGACATTACTGTAGGTAAAGCTAAAAGGAAGGCTTTGGCAATATTTCAAACCCTTGGCACACTCCTAAACCTTCCTCCTACCCAATTCCAGCCAAATGAACTCTTTATAAATGAATCTTCCTATTTCACAGAGAAATTGTCACTAGGCATGCATTTGCTCATTTCCCGATGACACCAAAAACTTAATCTGTATGTAAAGTTATGGAGAATATTTCTTCCCCAGAATTCCTCTTAGGAAGGGAATTCTATTTATAGGACAAGGGAATAGTTTGTCTGTTGCTCTGTAAGAGATAACAGAGGCTGCCTGTAAGATGGAGGATGGTAGATGGTTGTTTTCTGTATTATGATTACTCTCTGTAGACATTGAACCTTCAGTAAAATGACTGAACTCATGAAATGCTTTTGTGGGATAGACTTTTCAAAAAAAATAGTGAATGACTTAAAAGGGGAAACTGGGGAAATCTAGGGAGATATGGAGTGCAGTGGCAGAGGGAAACTGGAGGAAGTTAGCATAGAAAGCTTCTGAAAATTAGAAATATCACCAGATTTCTGAGAGCCAGTAATTCTTATCTTTTTTCTTTCAACTAAATGAAAAGAGTCTTTCTTGCTTTTTGAGGTGGGAAAGAGTGATTAAGAAACTTTACTACAGAAAAATGAATGCACCCAACGTCCCCAAATACATTTGTGATAAGAACAGACACACAGGAGAAACAGACAATAGTCACTTCATCACAGCCTTCTTCTTTCCAAAGGATAAAATGTCATTCAAGAATGGGGTGAGGTGGTTAGAGGGAATAGGTACTATCTTTTTAAATGGAAAAAAAAGAGCAGCAGGTTGTCATCTTAAGAACACATACAGTGGGCCCAGAAATCAAGCTAAGCCCAAGCCTTCGGTAACATCATGCCACTTATAGCATCTCAGAGAAACTAGGGTATTATTCCATTAGAGGAGCAACCTTGTGACAGTGTGAAAACGTTGAGTAGTGGTCTTGCTGCACCAGCTAATGGACCAACTAGCCTCAACTTGACAGCCTCTTTAAAACTCAGTGTTTGCCTAATCAAAGATCATTTGGCTAAACTGCTTTGCCACTTCTGCTTAGCTACTTTGGAAGCACAAGTTACCCCTTTCCATCCTTTGCCCTTCCCTGGTTGGTGTGTCTAGTTACAAGGTAGATGGGCACTACTTAACAAATCACACTTTTTTTTTTACTACAGGTTGTTTCTCTTCCACATTTGACAAGGCTGGCCACAGCTCCTAAATCTTGGCCTAGCACATCATGGATTGGGAAGCAGAAGCTTTAGCTTAGAATGCCAAATGACAAGGACATAGCTGAAGCAGGAGGGGCAATTCCAGAACAAGTGCCTCTGGGCAAACCTCAAAACTGAGTTTTTTAAATTAGTGGTCATTTTCTAGAACTACAGAACACATTTAGGATAAACAGTTCTGATGGGAGAAGGAATGGATATGAATATATAGAGATCAGGCCATGACCGTGACCATAACTTGTACTTATCCAGGACTTGACAGGGTAGAGAGGACACTGCCTCCAGACATGCAAGTTTCTGAACAGTGAATTTTAAGAAAAAGCTGCTTTTTCTTAAAATTAATACCACAAAAACACTCCTGCATGTCTCATAGCCTCAAACATATGCATCCAAATATTAATGCTGGGCAATAGCAATACTCACCCACAACACAGTACTGTATCCTTCATTGCTGCAGGCAGTAATGATGTATGTATATATCAGCCTTCAAAATGGTATTTAGTGTCACCACTTGCCATTGTGGCCATCTCCCCTCACTCCAACCTGGATAAAATCTTACTCTGCTCACTAATATAACCACTGACACACAAACCAATCTTCTTCCAGTTTAAAAACATTGAACATCAATCTACATTTCCAGTGAACGAGCTAAACTTGTGAGTAGGCCATTCAACTTTTCATGATACATTTAGTGCTTGGAAATGGTTGATTCCATTAGCCTGCCCTATAGCTCAGGTGTCCCAAGATGGAGCCTACAATCTTCCTTGAGGATTTGGTGTTTTGAAGGCGTAAAGTAGGAGCAAAAAGATAGATACTTTCTCCTACCCCACCACCCCATCCCACACACCCTCACTGGCTTCCAGGAGACAAGCAGCAGGCTCAAGACCCCAAATGTTGGGCACCACAAATAATGTGATATGTGCCAGGAGCATGGGGGTAGGTGTGAAAGAGGAAAACTAAGGCCTGAATTTTTGAAACACCATACAGTCTGAAATTGCTATTTAGCGATGCATTTGGCCCACAAAATACGGGGTGGAGGTGGAATAGAGAAAGTTAAACCTAGCAGTCAGCCTCAGTCCTAATCACCCACCTTCCTGTACCTTGGAAGGCTTGAACCTTGCCTATGTCCTTCTCTTGGTTCCTCCAGACTTCATCTTAATGCCACTCAGACACAAACAAAAGCAGGCAGTAGCTTCAAGTAGCCCTCTCCTTCATCTCAGCCCTAAGTGAACTGGCCAGTGAGTAATAAAGGAAGCTACCGTATTTATAGGGAGGCCAGTCTCCAAATACAATGGAGTGGTGGTTGTTCACTGCTGTGAGTCACAAATTGACTGTTATAATAGAGAACAGTTTTAAAAATGTAATACTGTTTATTTAACTTCAAAAACATTTCAGCATTCTAAACATACAAAAGAATAACAGAACGTTACAAATTGTGTTTAAGTACAGAAGGTTCTTGAACTTTCATTGATGCAGTGGCTCTTCACTTTGTTGACAATGAAGAGTTTTACAGTTTGTATAAAAACAAACAGTTTAAAAAATACCTCACTTAACTAAAAAACAAAAACAAAACAAAAAAATCTCATGCCAGCTGACCCGCTTTATCCACAGCTAAGATGGTGGCAGAATGCTACGTCACTATATACAGAAACAAGACAACTTGAAGCTAAACAGATGCCCACTGCAGAGTCAACAGGTCCAGCCTCACAGTGCACACCTGAGCTACAGCCCCTCCAAAAGGCATCTTCCCCACAGCCTCAATGCCAAACAAGGAGCATCAAGAGTTTGTCTCGGTTGTTTTGTTCCTTTTACAAACTATAGATATAGAAAGTTGATAACTCAGGATTTCTAGCCAATAACCATATAGTTAATACCACCTTACAAATAAAAAAAAATGCCAGAAACATCTTTAAATGCCTTGTCACACCAACAGCAAAGTACACAGAATGAGGAGAACATGAGAGTGTCTTTTCATTTTAAAAATGTTTGGAAATACGTACAACTTTGATACAGTTTCAGGGTGCTCCAGACACCCATGGCCACTTCATGTAAACCACTGGCAATCTCTAGGGCACCTTGAGAGACTACAATATGATCATGATCTAATTTTGTAATTAAATCTAATGAGGGAAACAGACACTTCTCAAATAAGAGATGTGTCAATTACGGCATTCCCCTACTCTAAGTATTCACAAGGAGACAGATAAACAGTGTTTTTTATTTATCCTCTTCTTCCTCTTCCTCTTCTTCCTCCTTGTCTTCTTCATCTTCCTCTTCTACATTTTTCCGGGCAACTTTAGCAGGACCCTTTGTGCCATCGACCTTTCCTTTCTGTTTATAGTCAGCAACATCCTTCTCATACTTCTTCAGCTTTGCCATCTTAGTGATACAAGGCTGCTTTTCACTGTCATTTAGGTTATTCCACATCCCACCCAGCTTTTTTGCCACGTCTACAATAGAGATGCCAGGGTTTGTGGATTTGATCTTAGTGGCAGAATTCTGAGCAGAACAGGAAGAATCCAGACAGTGGCCTTTTGGGGGCATTAGGATCCTTCTTGCCTCCCTTAGCTGGTCTATAATCCTTCATTTCCCGATTACAGCACACTTTATCCACCTTTGCCATTTCATCAAATTTAGATATATTTCACTTTCTCAGACATTGTCTTCCATCTCTCAGAGCATTTCTTGGAAAATTCTGCAAAATTGACAGGGACCTCTGGGTTTTTCTTATGTTCTCCTCTGCACATCTGCACAAAGAAGGCATAGGCAAATATCTTGCCCTTTGGTTTCTTGGGGTCACCTTTACCCATCCTGATTGTACTGTTCAATAGTCTGGGCAGCGCAGGGCATGATGCGCAGCTCAGTGCTCCCCAGCCTCACGTTAGCTGCCTCCACAAGAGCCGCCACAGAGTCTTTCTTACGATCTGGAGCCAAGGTCTCTCCACCTGCACTATACGCTATCATTTGCCTCCTCAAAAACTTTGCTGTATCAATTATCACTTTTCCCTTCTAAATTTTCAACTAATCTCTCAATCCTGACTCTTTTCTCTTAGTGTATGAATCCGCCTATGTCAGCTGCATCTTTAGAAAACATTCTTCATTGGTTAAAAACATACATAATTGTTGAAGATGTGATAGATGCATGGGGGTTCATAATAATATCCTTTACATCTTTTTGTATGTTGAAAAATTTATATAATAATGAAGCTATAATTCACATACATTTAAAGTGAACACTTTAATAATTTTAAAAAATATATTCACATATAAGTACAACCATCACCAGTCAATTTTAATAAATTTTCATCACCTCAAAAAGAAACCCCATATCCTTTAGCTGTCAATATTGTCCCCACTGGTCCTAAGCAATCACTAATACACTTCCAATCTTTAAATATTTCCCTATTTTGGACTTTCATATGAATAATGTAATAGAATATGTGGTATTGGGGGACTGGTTTCTTTCACTTTCCATATGTTTCTAAGGTTCATCCATGTTGTGACATTTATCAGTACTTTGTATGGCCAAATAATATCCCATTGTATGGATATACACAACTTTGTCCATTCATCAGTTGATAAACATTTGGATAGTTTCTAACTTTTGGTTACTGTAAATAATGCTGTTATGAACATTCATGTGGAAATTTTTGTGTGAACATATGTCTTATTTTCTCTTGAGTTTATAGAAGTGGAGTTGCTAGGTCATATGATAACATAATGTTTAACTATTGAAGTGACTGCCATAGTGTTTTCCAAAGTGGGTTGCACCATTTTACATTTCAACCATTAGTCTATGAGGATTCCAATTTTTCCACATCTCCATCAGCATTTCTTATTATCTAACTTTTTTATTCTAGCCATTCTAATGAGTGTGAAGTATATTGCGATTTTGATTTGCATTTCCTTGATGACTAATAATTTCCAGCATATTTTCATGTGCTTATTGGCCATTTGTATATCTCTTTTGGTTGCTTTTGGTTCTTAACTATGAATAAAACTCATAATAGATTTCACATTGTCCTATAGATAACCCAAAACGTGTGCCAGAATTCAAAGGCCAGATCTGCATACACTAAATATATATTATAGAATAAAATATTAAAAATGATCATCACTAATCATCAGAAAAATGCAAGTTAATACCGTAATGAAGTATCATTTTATACCAGTCAGAATGGCTATTGTAAAATGGTAATAAAAATAACAGATGTTGGCGAGGATGGGAGAAAAAGGAATGCATATACACTGTTGGTGGGAGTGTAAATTAGTACAACGTCTATGGAAAACAGTGTGGAGATTTCTCAAATAACTAAACATAGAACTACCATTTAATCCAGAAATCCTACTACTGGGTATCTACCAAAAAAAACCAATCATATTAAAAAGATACCTGCACTCATATATTTATTGTAGCACTATTCATAATAGCAAAGATATGGAGTCAACAGGTATCAATCAATGAATGATTGTATAAAGGAAATGTGATATACATTGGAATACTACTCAGTCATAAAAAGAGAATGAAATGTCTTTTGCAGTAATGTGGATGGAACCAGAGGTCATTATGCTAGGTGAACTAACTCAGAAGAAGAGTCAAATACCGTATATTCATTCTCACTTAGTGGGAGCTAAGCGAGCTAAATAATGTGTACATACGGACACAGAGTGTGAAATGATAGATGCTGGAGACTTGGGAGGGTGGTGAAGGATAAGAAATTACTTAATGGGTACAATGTACATTATTAGGGTGATGGATACACTAGAAGCCCAGACTTCACTACTATGCAATAAATTCATGTAACAAAACTACTTGTACCTCTGAAATTCATACAAACAGAAAAAAGAAAAAGAAAAAAAGAATAAATTATTAGTCTTACAGCCATCAACAAACATTTAAAATAACAAAAAAGTACAATTTTATTTTCTTATGCGTTTTGAATTCCCTAAAAAGGCATCAAAAAGCAAAAGATTTCCATGCTAGCCTGGTGGATTGGCTTGTTATAATCCATTATGTCTGTCAAGAACAACTAGACAAACATCTGTTCAAAGGCATCAGAGATATTCCAAAGCAGTGAGTACTCCTGGGGCTAAGATCTTTGAGAGAAAAAAAAATCTGAAGAGATTTTCGAGAAAATTCTGAAGCTGCTTTTTCCCTCAAGACAGTTTCCCAAATGAAAGTGAACACTAAGAGACAAATAATATGATTACAACTTACAGCAATCTCTCAAAGCTGGTGTGTATGGGAGCAAATATTGACGTTCAGGTCCCATAATGATCCCGGTGTACACCCAAAACTTTCTGGTAGAAGTTCAAAGAACATCAGGAGTAAGGGTGACTGGAAAGAGATTCAGCCCTTGCAAAGACTGAAGTACATATTTCAATCATTTCAAATCATGACTGTGTCAAGTTGATCTGCATCTAGTCCATTTGACTGCCATAAAAAAAAGCAACATCTTCCTGCAGAGCCTCAAATATTCTCTACTATTTTTCTTACAAATATCTGGCATTAAATTAAAAATAACATAGTATGCCAACAACAAAAAATGACTAAAATCCAAAAATAATAATAGATTATAAAAATAGACCTATAGGAGATACAGATTTTATAAATATCTGACATGGACTTAAAATAACTATAATTTATAAATTTTTTAAATTGTGTGACAAAATTGGGAACTTATCAGGGACTGAAAACTATTTAAAGAACTCATATGACAATTCTAGAACTAAAAAAAATACCATAATTACAATTAAGAAATCAACAGATGGGTTTAATAGCAGATTGGATACAGCTATAAAGATAATTAGTATTCACTAGAAGGCAGGTCAGAAGAAAACACTCAAATGGAGAAACAAAAAGCATGAAAAACTTATGGGAGAGTGAAAATGTCCTAGAGAGAGAAAAAGAGAGAGAGAATGAGCAAGAGAGAATGATGATGAGATGCAATATGTAAAGCAATAAAAGCTGAGATTTTCTCACACTGCTAAAATATCAAACCACAGATTGAGGAAATGCTACAAATCCCAAGTATGGTAAATATGAAGAAAACCACAAATAAGCATATCATGTTAAAACTGCTGAAAACCAAAGTCAGAGAGAAAGTCTTTAAAAGCAGTCAGAAAGTATAAATAAATAGATGAACTTCAAAGGAGTAACAACAATGACAGTGGACAATAGCATCTCAACAGAAATAATGGAAGCCGGAAGACGAATGATAACCTAAAAGTAGGAAGTAACACAGGCTTGGATACCTAAAGATGAAGGTAAAAGAAATACATTTTCTGTCAAAACAAAAATGAGGAGAGGGAATCTGTCACCAGCAGATCTGCACTAAAGGAGAGATGCTAAAAGTAGTATTCCAGGCCAACAAGAAATGATCCTACGTGGAAGCATGGAGATACAAGAAGGTATGAACAAAGACCAAAAGGGCAAATACAACCAGTTTTGTAATGAGTGAAAATACTTGAGCAGTCATTTGACACACGTGTGTATGCATGCAAACACAGACACACACAGAAACACACACCCCCAAAATGGCCAGTAAAGACATGAAAATAAAATTAGCTCATTAGTCATCAATAAATGCAAATTCAAACTACAATGAGATACTATACATATACTCAATCACAAAAAGTAATACCTAGTGCTGGCAAGGATATGGAGCAACTGGAACTCTCATACACTGCTTATGGGAGTGTAAAATGGTAAAACTGCCTTTGCAGTCTCCACTGAAACTAAACATTGGCATTGCTTATAGGTCTTGTAGTTCTACACCTGCATATACATGCAACAGAACTGCATATATATGTGTGCTAAAAGGCCTGCACAAGGATATTTACAGAAGCATTATTTGTCACAGTCACAATCTGGAAATAACCTAAATATTAATCAAAAGCAGACTGTATTAATACACTGTGGTATATTCATACAATGGAATACTATACAGCAATGCTAAGGAACAAACTTCTGTTACAAACTACAATATGGGTAACTCTCATGAATACAGTGTGAATGAAAGAAACTAGAACTCTGATTCCATTTACATAAAACTTTAAAACCCAGGAAAAAATAATCTGTCGTGTGAGAAGTCTGCTTTCTGCTTACTGGTTACCTTTTGGGGAGGAGGGTGGGGAAACTGACTGAAAAGAAACATAAGGAGTCTTTTGGGTATTCTGGTACTCTTCTGTTTCTCACCTTGGATAAAGGACTACATGAGTAAGTTTACTTTGTGATAAATCATCAAGATTTGGCCTTATTATGAGTATAGTTTTCTGTGTGTACTTTATACTTCAGTAAGAATATGTATTTGAAAGAACTAGATGCACTACTACTATACTTAGTAGGCACCCAATAAATGTTTATTAGATTAGATTTTTTAAAGGCAAAAGGACTATCATTTCATTGTTATAATGAAGTTGTTTCAGAGACATTTTTCCCTATCCTGGCAAAATGCCAAGTAGAAAATAGATATGGCATAATCTCCTATTTAGATTACTATAGCAAAATTCATTCTGCAGATGTAACCAGTACAACACCCTGGTACTGTTAAAAAATATTATTAAAGTCTTAGTGACTAAGATTTCACTGTTATTAAAATCTATCTTGAACATCTGCCAGCTTACCAGATGTTTAGTCAAAAATTGAGGACTTTTCTTTCAATATATATTTATATCACGTTTAGTTCTCAGAACTGTGAGAACAAATTCTATGGCCCATCATCCATAACCCACATGATGTGATTATAACTATATAGTCTATAATCCTTAGAGATCCTGAGTGATTTTTTTCTTTTCTCCCAGATATATTTCGATTTCTTGCCTAAGGATCTGGATGATAAGATCTCCTCCAGCTCACCTTTCTTATGCAAAAAATTACTGCACTCTTAGTTCATGCTAAGGGACTATTGTAAGAATTTTACAGGTATGAACCACTTAATCCTAACAACAATCCTATGAAGTAGATGCTGTTATTATCCTCATAACAGAGATGAGAAAGTGGAGACATAGAGATGTTAACTTCCCAGAGATCACTCAGCTAACAGAGCTGGAATTCAAACCTAAGTAGTCTTGCTCCAGAATTGTAGTCTTAACCAGTAGGCTATTCTGCCAAAATAAATATAATTAGGTCCATTTCCCTAGCAGTGGTCTCAGCTTCACATTTTATCTGTTTTATCACTTGAAGGCAAGGAGTCTGCTATCCTTAAAACTGCCCAGGGCCTCAAGGAGTCTGGATAATCCACCAAGGGTACTTTGAGTAATTGTACAATTTTTCCTTGCTTCCACTGAGCCCAAATTTCATATCTGTCTTCTATTATGTGAGCATTTCATATGTAAAGACCTTCTGAAATAATGCTATTTAGGCACCCGGGAATGGGTAAGTCTCACTGTGCTAAGCTGGTTTCTGAGAACTGCCTCTCAAGGAATAACCAATGATCAGGGAAAAGTGGGGCAGAAGCAGATGCCTCTATCTGCCCTAACAATTTGTCCTCCTCCTTCCTTATCATCCTGCCTCAGGCAGAGAAAAGGGGCATCAGTGAGTTGAGCTAGACACCCTAACCTGCCCCCCCCAAAAAAAACCCTTCCTTTCAATAGCCAGATCAAGGAAGTAAGATCCTAGACTCATGCAGGGCCCTCTATCAGCAAATTGGTAGCAGCAAAATGGTATCTAACATCAATATGGTAGCAAGACTACTCAGAAACCCAAGATAGAGGTTCTCTATCCTACTGCAGATTTTCAGCTAGGGCAAGTTATCACAAACTGTCTTAAAATGTAGCTACTCATGTACAGTGAACTTTGCAAATAATACAGCATGGCCATTAGACCCTCCATGACTGAATCAATCTATTATATTTTTCCCTTTGCCAACACTTGAACCATAGACACTAACAAATATTTTCACACACATTCTTACCTCCACTAATCTTTTTAACTACCACAATAATCCTCAGTGTACTCCCCCGCAACCCCCAAATCTATCTTCTGTTCTCTTTTTTCAAATACTTTATTTTTTATTCTCCTTATGTTATGGTCATGTTTGATATGTGTCCATGGTTATAAACAATATGAAAAGCCTTTTAGAAATAGGTAGGATATAAAGAATAAAAAGTAAGTGGTTTGGACCTTGCAAGGACATAACT